ACATATTTCTTTTGTTTTCCCTTTCTCTTGGCTATATAACCAAGTCCTTCGGTACGTTTTGTTTGAGCTTCCGAGATCCACTTAGGTATGACATTTGGATCAATGCTTTTATCTTTTCTAGCAGTTAATTCATTCTCAAGTTGATCCTTTTGAGTTTTTAAAATCGAAAGTTCATTTTTCAGATTTTCGAAATCAACATTGAATTTAAGGAACTACTAGAACTGATATCAGAATTCATGAGCTTATACTGAGTTAATTCAACATTCAGAAGAATACTATCATTCTTGATTCTATCAACTATTTTAGTTATGTGTTTATACTTAGAGTCTAGCTCTCTTAATTTACTCTAAGCCGTAGCATAGATTGTTTCCAACCATGTGCCATGTTCTTTGCAAATTTTAAGTGCCTTTTCACATTCATTAAGCTTGACACATGTTCCTCTAAAGTATTCTTCCTCTTCTAAACATATATCAATTATGACTTTTTTAGAGAGAGTTTTAAGCTGTTTAGGATCAAGAAATACCTCTTTCCGGAGTTCTTCAAGGTAGGCTCTATAGTCATCTATTTAGCCATTAGACAAAGGTTTGCTGTTTCCTCATCTGGTTGATCATCTTCTTCTTCTTCACTGTCTGAATCTCCCCAAGCAACAATCATAGCCTTCTTCATGTCTGACTTGGAATAGTTTGCTTTACTGAATTTTTCCTTTCCTTGCTCCTTGAGCTTTCCCTTGCCTTTATCATTCTCCCAGTGGGGACAATCTCTGATAAAGTGGTCATGAGACCCACACTTGTGGCAGCTGTAGTCAGGCTTAGGAGTTGAAGACCTTTTCATGAAGTTCCTTGAGGTGCATCCCTTCTTGAACATCTTCTTGAATTTTCGCACAAGCATAGCAGCCTCTTCTTCATCTAATTCTGTGTCTTCCTCATCATCAGCTTTAAGTGCCAGCCCTTTGTTCTTCACAGGTTCATTACTGACTCCAAGGTACAGCTCATGAGTCATGAGCAAACCAACTAGTTGCTCGATATTGAATTTAGTGAAGTCCTTAGTTTCCTGAAGGGCTGTCACTTTAGCTCTCCATCTTTCATCCTATGGAAGCTTCGAAGGACTTTCCTGATCTGCTCATCTGTAGGAATTTTTCTACCAAGAGAAACCAATTCATTTATAATGTTAGTGAATCTGGTTAGCATCTCTTGAATAGTTTCTTTTGGTTGCATCTCAAATCTCTCATACTTAGACATAAGTAGCTCAATTTTTGAGCGCTTAACCTCATTAGTTCCTTCATGAGTAATCTGCAGCAAATCCCATATTTCCTTTGCGTTCTTGCACCCCATAGCACGATTATGTTCGTGATGTCCAAGCCCATAGTGGAGCAATTTTACAACCATAGCATTGATTTCCATTTTGTCAAAATCTTCCTTATCAAATTCAGACATAGGTTTAGGGATTACCTCATTTTGTGCATTAGTTTTAGTGATTCAAAATCACCAACTTCAATGACCCAGATTTGGTAATTCTCTGCCTTGATGAAGTCTCCATTCGGTTTTCCTATTAAGCATAAAACTTACCATTGAACATAGGAGGCCTTTGAGTTGATTATCCTTCCTCGAACTTTTCATGAGTATTCATCTTGACCAAGTTCCTTCTCGTCAGGGTTTCCTAATTCTCCGAGAACTTAGGCTCTAATACCAATTGTTGTTTCAATGAATACTACAAGAAGGGGGGGGGGGGTTGATTTGTAGTATGACAGATTTGTCAAACTTTTTGTGGAAATAAAAACAATTAAGCTTAAGGAACTTAAAATGCAAGAGAGATTTTACGTGGAAAACTCCTTGGCCCTAAACAAGGAGAAAAACCACAATCACAAGGGATTTTAGGAAAAGATTCTTTACTAGAATAGGGCAATGGCTTATTACAAACTAAAGACTCTTACTTCGAGTTCCTCAACGAATTCAAAGCCCCAAGCAACAAGTCACCCAACTTGTTACTCTTCTCTTTCACTCTTCTCTTTCTCCTAGCTTCACTCAAAGCTAAAATGGAAGTTCACTCAAACTTCTCAATTCCCCAAAATACAACTCGAAAGAATTAACTCTAGTATAAGAACATAAGAACACTCTAATTCACTAATGTGGAATTGGACTCTTGACTCGATTTAACAAAAGATGAAATCTATTTGAGCAAGGGTGAGATTTTCCAACTGAAATTAACTAGCTATTTATAGACCGAATTTGCTTTGGAAAAACATCTTGTGTTGCTTACCCATATCGCCACTACTCTCAACCCACTAAACAAAACATATCCTAGAATTAAGGGCATGTTCTCCTTAATGTGCAAGACCATGACATGGACTAAGTCATGGAGAGTAGTCCGCAAGTTTTGGAAAACAAGATCAGATTTTATTTTATAACTGACATTTAAAAAATAAGAGAAGTAAAATCTTATTCATAAATTAATAGATAAGATTTTAAACCAACTATTTTCCTAAAATTAAGCAACACACAAACTTATCTTTTAGACCAATTCCACACAGCTAATTTAAAGTGTAAATCTAATTCTTATACTTACATACACCCTAAAACATAAAAATAGTTTAGTCTTCATGTTTCTCTGATGAAGCTTCTACTCCGAGCCTTCTGTTCTTATAGAGGAACTTCTCTTCTCTAGTGAAACTTCTACTTCGAAACTTCTGTTCCTTAATAGGAACTTCTTTTCTCAAGGTCCAACTCTGAAGCGCCGGTTCCTGTGAGGGAACTCTTCTCTTTTGGATTACTTTGTCCTTTGCCATCTTGTTCCTCATGGAATCTTTGCAAGACAACTTAATTCTCCTAGTCAATGCATCTGATCACACACTTTAAACAATTAAGCACTTATTAGTCAGTAAATAAGTTAGGTTGTGTCATCATCAATCTCATAAGGTCAACAAAATCTATACTCCTGTTAATTTTTATTTTTTTATATTATAAAAATCACAATACATTATCACAAATTCACATGATAGTTTTTCAAATTTGGATAGTGTAATGTTTAAGGCTAGATCATTTTTATTGACTGACGTCTACCTTAATTTTTTGTTTAAATTGTTTGATAAATAGAAATTAAACTATATAATTCTTTTTATGCTGTGAAATTGGAAGATTAATTGTTGCAATTGGGTTCCATACGGTGATAAAAGGAAAATCCGAAGAAGATATGCTTAAAAAAGATGTTGAAAATAAGTTGACGTATAGCATCCAAGAAGACGAGTCGCATACTCTAAAAATCCCTATGTTGCTTGACAAAAGCATGGATGCATAAAATTTTGCTACAAGTTTTAATAACATTTGGTTCAATTTACTGATTATATGTCATACAGATTACAGAATGTATGTAGAGTCTAATTGTATAGTATTCTTACAATATATAAGGGCTTAAGATGGCTGGCTTAGCTGCTTGGTCTGGTTAAGGCTAGCTAGGCAAGGGTTATTAACGAATTTATTACTCCGTAATTTTAGTTTATGTTGACATATAAAAGAAAGTGATCGATTGTTTTATTTATAGACCTTCTAAAAACTCCGTTTTATTAGCAAGTTGTTGCATATATGTTGAAATTTATTAAATCTAACACGTGCGTAATAATTGAATCAAATGAAAATTTCCTTTTTATCAAAGTTGTAACCATTGTTGCATACTTGCATATCGATCATATTTCATACCCTCTTCTCTGTATTGTTGTGTTTTATATATCCTTCTATGTTTACATATATATTTGAGCAGTATGTTTACATTATATACACTCTTGCTATCTCGATCTCTACTCATTCTTATTCTCGCTCCGCCTCTTCCTTTGCCGCTGGTAGTATATATGTTTGTAAGGTGAATGATCGAAATAATGGACTTGAGAGATCGACCTTTCACCAACGATCATTCTTGCTAGATTTTTCTTCTTGTACTTCCTACAAGTTGAACTATGTTATCACAAAGTACAACAATATAATATCATGTGAATAGAACGAGTTCTTTATTTGAAATAAATTTAAATTAAATGAAACTAGTTAAAAATAAATAAAATACCAATTAGATCAAGAAACGTAAAATGAATTTCAAATAGTCTAGTCGTTTATTATTAATTTTTTTGGCGGGATATATCACCTAATCTTGGATTCTATAATAAGTTTCTTACAAAGATACAACTTTAAAAATATCTCATACATCTATTATTCATAATATGCAGTGGAAACATAAATTTGAAAAAAAACAAAAAAAAAATACCTATCATGGAGGCATGGACTACTTTAATTCCATCTTTGGTGGGACCCAAATAAAAAAATTATCATATATTGTTGACAAATTAAGCTATGAATTATTCCATTATTTAATTATGAGATTTAGTTAAAGGGGGGGTTGTTAATGTTCGTTAGTTGTTAAAAGACTTGTGTAATTTAAAATTTCATTGCATTTCTTTCAAAGGTTTTAATTTCTTGATATAGATAGATAAGAAGAGAAATAGGAGAAACTTTGATTAAGCTCAGAAAAAGAGGAAAAGATAGAGGAGAAGATCAATAAGAGGAAAAAAAATGTGGGAATTATTAAAGCTATCGGGAATAATATTGGCAATGGAAGTGATGGTCGTGGGTAGCAATACGCTCACCAAAGCAGCCACGGCCAAGGGAATGAGCAACTATGTTTATATCACTTACACTCATGCCATTGCTCTACTCATTCTTTTCCCCGCCGCTTTCCTTTACCATAGGTATGTATGTCATTGACATGTTTTAAAATCACAAGATGAATTATCAAATTTGACTCGTTTGACCTCTTAGGCTCTCACAAAAGATCAATTTTGCTTCATTATTTTCTTTCATATTTTCGTCCTCTTATCCATCCAAGTTAATTTATATCGATCATTTTGATCTGACCAATAATAATTAATTTTGGATGGAATGAGACTGAAGTACAAAAATTTCATTCACTTTTAAAGTTTTTAAGGTATTGCTTGTTTTGTTTGTTAATTGGATTTGAACAGAAAAAAAACGGCCTCCACCCATTCGATGCTCTACGATTTTCCGGATATTCCTTCTTGCCATCCTCAAGTATGATTATTTTATTTTTCTTTTCATTACATCTCATTTCATGTTGAATTTTACTATAATCGATATTATTTACATGAAAGTATTATAAAAATTAATTATTGCTTTTAATAATTATTCTTAATTTGCTTTATTTTACTGGTTAATGAAGTAACCTTTCAATTAGTTTTGTTTTATTATAAAGCAATGACGCACTATTTTACTTAATTAAGTGGAGGGGTCGTTGTTGGAAGTAAACTTTTAATGTTTTTTTCCTTTTTGGACTACATCTTGGAAGTAAACTTAATTATAACTACTATATTTTTTTTTATGACTACTATATTTCGTATTTAGTAAACTACTATGTTTATGACTACTATATTTCGTATTTAGTAAACTACCCCAAATTTCATAAATTACTACTTCTAAAGTTTTGGTTTCCTTACAAACTAGGAATTGAAGTAGTAACTTAGCTCAAAAAAATTTCATTTAACTAGACGGCAGTAACTATACAGATACTCCAATATGAAAAAATAATTGTACACGTAACTTTATAGTTTATCATTTGTTGATTCTAAAGGTAAGGGAAAAAGAAAACCATTAGAAAATTATCTTGACAAGAGAAACTGAAATTGCCTCAGAAACTAACAAGAATTTTAAAAGTGACGAATTAATATTATTAAACTTAATTTTTTTTTTACACATCTCTAGTTTACATATGGCCTGGTATGGTACTCTGTATAAGTTTTTACAGGAGGACTAAAAAGTTCTTGGTCAAGAATGTTAGGTCATGTTCACTTCACCTTATTTTTGCTGAAGTAAAATTATTTTTACTAAACTAAAATTATTTTTTTAATGAACTAAAATTATTTTACTGATTCTCTATTATAATTCTTCTTTATAATTACTGATTTTTACTGAACTGGAGTTTTTTTTACTAAACTAAAATAATTTTTGCTGAACTGAACTGAAATTAATTTTACTGAATATTATTTTTTTTAGGAAAAATTGTCCAGCATAATCCCACCTTTGGGGCGTCCGCCCAAAATAATACCACCTTTGGGATATTTTTAAATAATCCGACATTTATACCCAATCCACTCAAAATGGTCCCATGTGACCTGTAACCGGTTGAGTAGGTAATTTTTTTATTAAGTTTAATTACAAGTGTCACCACGTGATTAGTCAAAAAATATGTTTTAATTTTAAATTTAATTAATTATTATTTATTTTAATTAATTATTTTAAAACAACCACCACCATCAGCCTAGACCATACCCTTCGCCGCACCCAGACCCCAAATTCCCCGCGTCGGTCGCCACTCCTCCTCCTATCCCGTCCGTCGCCTCTAAACCACAACAATGGTGTTGATGGTGATGGTGAGGTGAATGTGATAGTGATGGCCAAAAATATATAATGGCCGAAATTGAGCCGTTGGAAGGGGAGGGAGCTGGAAATGGGACGGGGGAATGGGAGGAGGGTCAAAATCGGACGAATGCTGTCTTGAAGGCGGTTGGCGGTGGAGGAGAAGTTAGGGGAGAGGAAGAGAGAGAAAATAGGGTCGGAGGAGAAGGAGGAGAGGGGATCGGTATGGCTGTGGTGGTGGGGTCGAGGCGAGGGGAAGGGAAGGGGGCCGACAAACTTGGTGGGGGAGGGGGTCGGAAGTGAGATGGCGGAAGAGGAAGGTTGCCAGCGCAACAGCCTCCCAACAGTGGCGGCAGGGGCTGCCGGAAGAGGGGGGTTGCCAGAACAGGGGCTGGGTTTGATTTTTTATTTTTATATTTTTTTTTTTTTGCTTTTTTTTTAATTTTTAAAGGTTTTATTGTTAATTTTTTTTAATTTTTGACCAATCACAAGCCGCCACGTGTCAGGTAACCTGGTATAACAAGTTACATGACCGGTTGAGATCATTTTTGAACGAATTGGGTATAAAAGTTGGATTATTTAAAAATAACCCAAAAGTTGGAATTGTTTTTAGCGGACGCCGCAAAGATGAGATTATTCCGCATAATTTTTCCTTTTTATAAAGTGAAGTAAACAGGCACGCATAAGTGGAAAATGATTCAAGATCAATCGATCATAATTCATAAAACATTTTTGGATAACTTCCCTTTATTTTTTTTTTTTTTTTTTTTTTAAGAAATGGATAACATCCCTTAGTCACCTTGTTATTAAAAAAGTGAAACTAAAGAAAAATATAAATAAATAATGGACAACTTAAAAAATATTTTACTATCTATTTAGTGACTTAGTGCATGCTCTCATTAAAGCTTAGCTACTAACTAGCTAGGTAGTATGTTAATGTTGCTGCTTTGGGGCCAATAATAATCTTACATATCTATCACAAACTTTTATTTGTGGCTGGCCCACCGTGTGGCCAACTATTATAGGGTTACTTTGTTAGTGTTATAAGGGTTACTCACTCGGTCAGGAGTTGCTAAGTCGGTCAGGGGTTATTTGGTCGGTCAAGGGTTACTCACTCGGTCAAGGCTTACTAAGTCGGCCATGAGTTACTTGGTCAGGGGTTACTCACCGATCAGAGGTTACTTGATCGGTTAGGAGTTACTCGATCGGTCAAGGGTTACTCGATCAGAGGTTACTCATCAATTAAGGGTTACTTGGTGTGTGTCAGCTGGCCACACCGTGTGACCAGCCGCACACAAAAATTGCTGCATGTGTGGCCACAAAAGTTGCTGCACATTTGCTGTACATAAGATTCAATATATGGATATATAAACACCCTCTCTTTACTCGAAATCTCCTTACTAAAGTAAATAATAAAGTTCCTCAAAAGAAAAAAAAAAGGTAGATAATAAAGTTAACCTATAATCCTATATTCCTATATCTTCAATTTGTTTTGTTTATGAAAGCTCGCTTTATCTATTTACCTATATCTTTGATACGAGAAGTCAATCCTAAGTGCCAATGTTACATTCTTCGCTATATTTATATGGATGATGATAAACTATATGAGAAGCCAAATAAGAAAATATTAAGGAAAACTAAACATTATTTACACTAATTTATTCATAATTTTGTTATATTCGTCTCGTTTACAATACTTCATTTTTTATGAGAGGGAATGGAAGGTCTAATCATATATAATTATTCATCAATATATGAGAAAAACTTACTCATATATATGGGATTTATTATATTTTTCGATCTTTATCTATAGTTTCAAAAAATATACAAAGTATTAATTTTGGAAAATTTATTAAGTAGTCCTTTAAAGTGGTTGATTTTGTGGTAAAGGTGCTTATATTAAAAAAAAAAAGGTCTTTTTATCACACTTAGGTTGTAAATAGTGTCCTTTGACTGAAACCCGATCATTGACTTTTATTTTTCCGGCCAAATCGATCTTTAAAAATCTTTTTTTTTTTTAAGTTTCTTTTCCCGCCCTTTTCCCTCCAACTCAAACCTTATTTCTCCTACATCCCTCTTCTTTGCGAACTCTAATTCTCAAGAAGCATCAACAACCTTCAAATCTAGTCCCTCCTATTAAAATTGAAGGCAATTCGAACCAAATCAAGTGAAAACTCGTTTATTAATCCAGTGTGGGTTGAATAATTATGGAAAAGTGGGAAAGAAATAAATAAAAATAATTTAAAGGTTTTTTGGCTGAAAAAAAGAAAATTTAATGACCGGAATCTGATCAAAGGACCCTATACTATTTAAAACCCAAGTGTGAAAAAAGGAACTAACTTGCCACTTTTTTCATATAAGTACCTTTACCACAAAGTCGACAATTTAAAAGGAACTGTCTAACAAGTTTTCCATTAATTAATAAGGTTTGAAAATACGAGTATTGAAAAATGTGAAACAATATCAAATGAGATGACATCAAGGGAACATCTCATTTCAACAATTCTAGACACGCTCTAATTTACGCTAATCGACTATATTAAAAGATTTACTTGTATATAAATGCAGTTGTAGTTGTTCCATCTTCTTTTATATCGGATTACGTTATAGCTCACCAACACTTGCATCAGCAATAAGTAATCTTACCCTCGCGTTCACCTTTATTGTAGCCATCATTTTCAGGTAAATTTATAACATTATATATTGTGATTTAATTTACCATGATATAATGTTATTGTTACTCATCTTTAGTCATTATTAAGAATGAAATGAATTGTGGAATAATGTATTTAGGATGGAGATATTGAACCTACGTTCACAAAGTAGCATACTAAAATTGATAGGAACCATAGTATCAATTAGTGGAGCATTCATATTGATCTTCTACCAAGGACTACCAATTTGTAATATGTTCCCTTCACCAATCAAGCCATCTCTCCACTCTCTTGTGGAACTTCAAACTCAACCAAATTGGGTCCTTGGAGGGACCTTTCTCTCAATGAGCTGCTTAGTCCTCTCACTCGCGTATATTACAAAGGTAATGATTTTTCCGAAACCTATCTATATACATTTTATATACTATATAGTATTAAAATATGTTTTGAAAATTTATAACAAAATCATGTATTATTCAGTGTTTTAAGCCTTAGTTTTTTTTCTTTCTTGCTTTAATTTATGTTCTTTTTCGATAGACAAGAGTCTAATTAAGGACTATTTTTATCATTGTTCGACTAATAACTGCTTTTTTTCGTTTCTTCAGACTTGGATTGCAAGGGACTACCCTTCTACGGTGCTAATAATACTTATTACTTTTTTCTTTGAAACTATAATGGTATCATTTGTTACTCTAATTGCAGAAAATGATGCTAGTGTTTGGAAACCAACCTTTGGTATCGAATTAATTTCTATTCTCTTTGGGGTAATTCTTAATATTTGTTTTCATCTTAGACCAAATTATACTTTTAGGTTTTTACTATAATGTATATTTATTGTACTAATTCACAAAATTGATATTCAATTTGGTGTATTATCTAAAATTTGACCAGGCCATATCAATTGGTACGTTAAATATTCTCGACACATGGATATGCAAAATGAAGGGACCGGTATTTATAGCAATGTTTAAGCCACTTCAAATGATTATCGCGGTTATTATGGGAGCATTTTTCCTTGGGGATGTGCTACATGTTGGGAGGTACCATTGCATATTTTTATAACTTAGCTATTACTTGGTGAAATTAGATCTTACGGAGTACTAAATATTTACACCTAATTCTTCAAAAAAAAAAATATTACACCTAAACCTGGCCAAGTTTTTTATTCAATTTGAAACTTGAAATCACTAATTCTACAGTAAACGATGCATACCGCTTTGTACCACTAAAGCAACATACCCTAATGTATCACTATTAAATTTAATTAAATATATCATTTATTTTTTGCCTTTTCTAAGCATGATTTAACTCTAGCTAAGATGGTGAACTGCATTATTGCTTTGATTTGTGGTTTAGGGATCAAATCTTTGTGCTCACCATATATTTTTTTCCTCATTCTAGCTTGTAAACTCAATTTTATATTCTTTTTAGCATGGTTTCCAATGCATAATTTATACTTAGAGATTAGATTGCAGAAAGAAATCAATGATGAAAATCCTTCTGAAAAAATTATATCGCAGAATGAAATCAATGACATTATAAATGTCAAATCTGTATCAATTTTCTACCCAACGTTTTTTATACATACACCAATTGTGATAATTGTAAGGAAATTCATTAAAATCAAATATCTTTCTTTTTAAACCTTTCACTCTCCATAATTTGTATTAGGTAGTTGTTTCAATAAAAAAACTTTGGCTCCTGAACCAGCCAAAGCAATTGATTGAGCAATAAAATTAAAAAAATATGTATCATGATAGATCGAAGGTATGAAAAGAGCTAATCAATTCTATTATCTTTCTTTGATGATAATTATTCAGTTTTGAAATTTTATTTGGGTTTAGATTAGATCTGTTACAATGGCTACCAAATTATTGTAGCCATTGAATACATATTAGGGTTTTAAATTAATTAGAGGGAGAGATTGAAATTAACAAAAACAATTACTTTATACTTAGAAATATAGATTAGGGTTACATTTTAGATTGATGAATGGAGAGATTAATATTTAAAAAAACTAATAAATTAGAATCTTCAAAGCTGTTGAATAATGTTATATCCCCAAATTATAATTTGCTTCAAGCTTTAATTGTGATGAATGAAAATAAGTGATTCCCTCAAAAAAAAAAAAAAAAAAAAAAAAAAAAAAAAAAAAAAAAAAAAAACCGAAGAAGGTAGGCAGAATGAGAGATTAGGTAGGATAGAAATAAGAAAAATCGTGAGAAAAATAAAATAAAAAGGGTTAAGTGTTTTTTTATTTTTTTTATTTATCTATATATGTAATTTAACAATACTTAGCAATACATAACATTTACATTACATAGCGGTATTTGTCATGTACTGTAGACTATCCTACGATAACCAACTATGAATCATGTGCAAGTTAATAGTACCAGACATGCGGTACACACCCGTATCTTATGGACATCGGGTATTTTATCATATTATTTTATACTTTTTTTATTTAAGTTTTAAATAAATTAAACTTTATTTTCAATTTAGATATTTTGATGAATATTTTTTAATGATTTTTCATCCTATTTGAATATATAGTAACATTTATAAAATGTAATTGAAAATTTCATACATCTTTTTAAGAATACTTGTATATTATGTTGTATTTTTTTTTTTTTTTAAAAAAAAGAAAAGGAAATGCTATATAATACTTACTTAGCAGTATTTGTTTCCTCTATTATTATTAAAACTAGCTAGAGTATATAATACGTTTACGTACCTGTTTTGTATTTGTACCCGATTCTTCTGTATTAAATTGCTTGATAAATTGAAATTGTATTTTGTCATTCTTGTTATGCAGTGTAATTGGAGGATTGGTCATAGCAGTTGGATTCTATACGGTGGTAAAAGGAAAAGCCGAAGAAGAGATAATTAAAAATGATGATGAAAGTAGGTTGACGTATATCATAGAAGAAGAGTCACATATACATCATCTAAAAATCCCAATGTTGGATGACAAAAACATGGATGTTTAAAAGACTTTCCAACAAGTTCTCCCAATTTTGGACAAACGACCAAAGTACTCTGTCACAGACTCGGAAGAAGTCAACTTACACTCCCTTAACGTTTGTTTAAGCTGACAAATATGAGTACCACTCACCACACAATATCTCTATTTCAAATGTATCCACAAGTCACTTGCGATGGCAAAATCCTTAATTTGAGAACGCAAGGCATCAACAAGTGTATTAGTAATCCACGATACGAGCATAGAGCTCATCGCAACCCAATGCTTCTTCTTTAATTCATCACTCAGCTCTAATATTGAACCATCAACAAAACCAAACTTGAACTTCCCGATCATCGAACGACGTATTGCTTTAGCCCACTCATCATAGTTTGACCCTTTCAATTTCACCAGAGTAATAACAACACCCGGATGGTCACTCGACCCTAGATAAAACTCTAGGTCCACCGGTGGTGGTGGTGGCAGAACTTTATCATCCTTTGTCATCGCACGACCTTATGCGTTTTCCTCTCAATCTTTTTTTTTTATTATTTTTTTTCTTTAACCTAAGCTTGATGTGGAAATTGTTCCTAAAATGTATCATGTGAAGGAACATAGTCCGAACCACATTACGGTGCAATATCAAAATGTGTGCCACATTACGGTGCAATATCAAGGTGTGGTTCCATCTATATCTAATCAAGAAGGGTGCAATTTGTGTTATTCAAGTGCCTTAATGTGTGTGTCATATGAGAGTTCCAAGGTTGTAATATTTATCATGAAATGGCATGGATTCAAATGTTGGCATATCGCTTGGTCAATGATGTTCATAAGTTCTACAAGTCCAACAGTCCATGTTGATGAAAGCTTGAGGGCAAGCTTTTTCGAGGAAGGAGGGAATGATCCGGAATTGATCCTTGACCAAGACCTTGTGCAACCTAATGAGTCTAATGGTTCAAAGAGTCCAAATACACGGTCTAAGGTCAAACAAAATCAAGTTCCTCTTGTCCATGGGTTGCTCCTACGAGGGTCCAAAGAGTCCAATGTTCCATGCATGGGTTTCAACATAGCTCCATCATTGTACAAGTCATGCGTAACTTGGATGCATGAGTAAGCAAGGTATTTATTTTTGCCTTGGATTCTTGTCCGTATGAGCTTAACATAGAGCAGGAATATTCTCTTATTCCTAATCAGTCCACAAGCAAGATTTGAAGGCAAAAGACAAGGCATTGAAGCTAAGGGGGGTTACACGCATATTATGATGGTTCTTAATGGGAGAGTTACTCTCTTGTTGGGTGTTATTTTTAAGTGTAGTTGCTTAGTAATTTGCCTTGTATTCCTTAGTTAAATAACTGTTTTATTTTCAGTTTATAGTAGTAAATAGCTTAGCATTAAATTGCTGTAATAAAATGTCAACCGTTACAAGGGAGAAGCTGGGCGCAGCTACCGCTAGTTCCTTAAGGATCTGGTTAAGGGATTCCCGAAGGAACAGCAACAGTTATTAGTCTTCAATGTGTGACGGTTTGCATGGAACTGTTACAATGAGGGGCTGCTCATTGTGGTGACTTTTGAGTTTCCTTTTGTTGGTGACTTTTAAGTTCCTTTTTAATTACTTTAGTTAAGTAGATAATTAATGTAACTAGTTACTTCCTTAGCCTATAAAAGGAAGTCTTATCTAGCTTATAATAGAGCAGACTTTGATGAATGAAAACTTTTACTTTTGAAATTTACTTTGAGTATTTTTCTTACTTTAAACTTGTGGACTCAAGTTTAGCTTGAACTCGTGCATTCGAGTTAGTGAGTTTAATCCAGAGTGTTCGAGATTAGCTTGTTTATGGTTAGTAGAGTGAGTGTTCAACTCTAACCATACTTATCCTTGATTAGTATTGCGAGTGTTCCTTGCTAATCAACCCCCGAGTTCCTCGTTGTCAGGAACTTCGTTCTTTCCTTACCCAGTTCCCACAGAAACACCTAGCCTAAACACATAACCCATCACCCAAACACCTTAACCCATATCCGTTTCCGCATCACTGCGGCTCGTGCTAATGCAGTACAAGGTGGAGCTTTTCATAATACAGGAAGCGCTTCATCTTCCTTGGCAAGTTCTATACAAGGTCTTGCGGGAGTATCGTCGGAACAAGCACAACACATTATTAATATTCTATCAAAACCCCAGTCACGTTTGGAAGGTAATACAAGCGGCTTATGGATTGTGGATACAGGAGCCTCTAACTATGTTACTAATGACATATTAATCATGAAAAATATTAAAATGATACATAATTTTCTAGTTGCTTTACCGGATGGTCAAACGGTGAATGTGAATCAATTGGGTTCGATCACCTTAGATGGTGGTTTAGTGATTGATAATGTTTTATTTGTAACTTGATTTCTGTTACTCAATTGAGTGGTGAGTTGCAATGTAATGTACAAATTTACTAACAAAATTTGTGTTATTCAGGACCAGTCAACGAGGACGGTGATTGGTGTGGGTGAACGACGAGATGGACTTTATTTTTTTCGAGGTGTGCTGCAAGTGAAGGTGCTAGCAGTGGATTGTGTGGTGGATCTTTGGCATCAAGAAATGGGTCATCCGTCGGAGAAAGTTCTAAAGTTACTTCCTCCTGTGATTAACACAATCTAGAGATAGTTTTCCTGTTAGTGACAATAATACAAGTGATTTGTTTGATTTAGTTCATATTGATTTATGGGGTTCTTACAAGGTAGCATCGTCTTGTGGTGCGAAATATTTATTGACAATAGTGGATGATTATTCTAGAGGTGTATGGATTAATTTGATTAGTAATAAAACTAAAGTTGGATATACTTTTCTCAATTTCATTGCTTTGATAAAACGTCAATATAGTTGAGATATAAAGGGGGTTTGAAGTGATAATGGGACGGATTTTAATCATCTTAGAGATTATTTTGTCAAACGGAATTATTTTTTAGTCTTCTTGAGTTGGAACCCCTCAACAAAATGTGAGAGTGGAAAGGAAACATCAACATATCTTGAACGTGGCTCGGGCTTTGAGATTTCAAGGTAGATTACCTATTAAATTTTGGAGGGAGTGTACATTATTGACGGCTTGTTATTTTATTAATTGTACAAGTCCTCTCCTTCAAAATAAAACTCCGTATGAGATGTTGTTTGGTAAAATCCCATCTTATAAGTCTATTTGGGTTTTTGGGTGTTTATGTTATGCACATAATCAATGGAGTAAGGGTGATAAATTTGAATCACAAACTCAAAAATGTGTTTTTCTTGGTTATCCATTTTGAAAAAAGGGGTGGCAATTGTTTGATTTAGAGACTTGGAAATTTGTTGTGTCTCAAGATGTAAAATTTCATGAATGGGTTTTTCCGTTTAGTAAGGAATTGAAAGAGAATTTGTTGGCTTCTGAGGTGAATGGTGAGCTTGAATATGTTGAAATTGATGATGCATTTGATGAGTGGCAAATGGGGACTTTCGGTGGGGTGCATGAGAAGAGTGGACAACACCAAAGTGGCGAAGCAAGCTACTCCGCGGGTAGGCTGCGGGGGAAGGCAGTAGCCCGCAGAGGATGATCTACAGCAGCCGCAACCATACCAATCCGTGGGTAGGCCACAGGGGATAAAAGCAGATTGCGGGCAGGTCACGGAGGGCACTGTTCAGCAACCGCAACCAGACGACTCCGTGGGTAGGCTGCGGGGGATAGAAGCAGACCGTGGGCAGCCCGCGGAGGCCACTGTTCAGCAACCCCTTGGTCCGTTTAAGGACAATTTGGGGGTTGATTCAAGTGAAGAAGAATTGGGTCATGGGAAGCGGTAAAAATTTCCTTCGACAAAGCTTCGTGATTGTGTCACACATACTATTTGGAAAAATAAAGTCTCATCGGGGCCATCCGCAGAATTATCTTCCTCAAGTACTCCCTATTCTATAACCTATTTTGTGAATTATGATAGATTTTTCCGAAACATAGAAATTACTTTGTTGTAGTGACAAAGGCTTGAGTTCCAAGAACATTTCAAGAAGCAATGAGACATGAAGAGTGGAGGGATGCTATGACATCTGAAATAAAGGCATTAAAATACCAAGGTACTTGGACCTTGGAGACACTTCCGCCAAGGAAGAAAGCACTTGGAAGTAAGTGGGTGTACACCGAGAAGAGAGATGAAGCAGGAAACTTGCTTAGATTAAAAGCAAGGTTAGTTATTCTTGGCAATCATCAACATGAGGAAATAGATTATAATGAAACATTTGTTCCGGTGGAAAAAATGTCTACGGTACATATGTTTCTAGCTATAGCTGCAGTTAAAAATTGGGATGTGCATAATGCCTTTTTACATGGAGATTTGGAGGAGGAGATTTACATGAAAGTCCCACCGGGTTTTTAGAAAAATAACTCTGATAAAGTTTGCAAGATAAAAAAATCTTTGTGTATATGGTTTGAAGCAGGCTCCAAGATGTTGGTTTGAGAAACTGTCCACAAACCTCCCTTATTTGATGCAATTCGTACCTTTGGCTGTTTGTGTTTTGCTCATAATAAAAAAAAACCTGTGGAGATAAGTTTGCTAGCAAAAGTCGTAAATGTGTGTTCTTGGGTTGGGAAAAAGGGGTGGAGATTATATGATCTTGAGGCGAAAGAATTTTTTGTTTCTAGAGATGTTAAATTTATTGAATATTTTTTTCCATTTGGTTCTCCGGATGTTGTGATTAATACATCCGATGTATATGATACAAGTGAAGAGGTGCATGCTGATTTTGCTGAATTTTGTTTTGAGTGATGATGTGTGTGAGGTAGGGGTTGAGTCGTATGCTAAGGAGAGTTCTCAAGCGGTCGTTATAGGGGATTTCAATGACCAGCAGCAGTCACTACTAGAAAACAGCTGATTTACGAGGGAAATATTCCGTTGGTATGTCTTAAAAATCCGTCGGAAAGGCCAGTTTCCGACGGATTTCCGTCGGAACACGTTGTCGGAGACCCCTTTGTAGGAAATTTGGGTTATACCGAGGGATTTTCCGTCGGAAACGTCCTTACCGACGGAATTTAATTTCTCAGAACCTTAGTTTGACCAGAATTGAAGGTCCGTCGCAACGTTCCGACAGACTTAAATCCCTCGGAATATTCCAACCTTCCAACGGAATTTTCCGTTGGAATGTTCGCCTCTTCCGACGGATATTTCCGTCGTAAGATCCCCCCCTTTCCGAGGGAATATTCCGTCAGAAGGATGGAATATTCCGGGGATCTATGTCCGTCGGAAGATCCCCTTTTCCGAGGGATTATAATTTCGTCGCAATCTACCGACGGAAATGTCCGTCGGAACGTTTCTTCTTTGCGACAGAATTGGTTTCCGTCGGAACCTTGCGACGGAGTTAACGACGGCAATTTTCTATTTTGGCTATATATTTTCCTCTGGGACAAACCTGTAAATTCTTGCTTCTTATATTACTCACTGAATAATTTGTGCAAATATATATATATATATATATATATATATATATATATATATATATATATATATATATATATATATATATATACTAATTCCAATGTTTACAATAAACACTAAGTTAATCTAAAATTAGAACTAACAAACACTAAGTTCATCAATGCTATATAACAGCGCGAGAGCCCTAGCCAGCTCCACCAAAACCCGGGTCGTCGTCCCTGGGATCTCAAAATGGAGGTCGCACGTTGGAACATGGGTCATTGGCGTAACAACCCATCATCCTTTCTTCC